GCTGAAAGAAGACATCCTCTTCCTGGAAAGGAATCTGAGAACAGTGGGCGAGCTCTGCCTCCCTCATTCAGGTTCACAGTTGCTGACTGACCCAAGCTGCTGGGCAAACCAGAGCTTCACCATGAGCAGAGAATTGAGGCGGTCCACACCCAGCAGTCATCCCCAGAAATCCTTTCTGCAGGAACCCACAGACAGAGGCCCGAGGCTCCCCACCTAGGCTCACGGTCAAGGCACTCCTAGAGCAAGGACTGTCGGGGGAGCAGTTGGCCAGGGAGTGAGGTCTGGTTTGGTCAGCGACCACTCTTTAGCAGGTCTCACACTGGCACTTTGTTTTGCATTCTTAACACTACAGATCATGTTAAAATCCTAAGCAGGGAACCATATTCCAGTAGCACTTGAGATGTAGGTTAGGCTGCTGTACCAAACAGAATAATGTAGTGGTTTAAACTAGATATTTCTGTTCCTGGCATGTACTAGGCACAGGCATGTAATAGGTCCAGGTCTGTCGTCCCCAACACAGGTTTTTCCACTTGGGCTTCAGAGTGGCTGCTCTGAGTCCTGCCCTCTCTTAGCTAGCAGGAGGGGAAAAGGAATGCCCAGTTGTTAAGGGTGAGATGCACAAGTGGAACTCGTATCCCATTAGCAAAGGCTTAGTCACATGGCCACCGCCAGCTGCAAGGGAGGCTGGGAAATGCAGGCTGCAGCTGAGCCTACATTCCCAAGGAAGAGGGCGAGAGGATGTTGATGTCTGCCACGAAACAGAGATTAGCGGGAGTTTAGGATTAGCTACTGTTTTGTATTACCTAAACTTTGCTGAATGGGCCCAGATAGTTTAGAATTGAGAGTAGTTTTCTACTGCTTGACTAAGTAACACAGTTCAGATATAAAGTAATGCCACTCACAAAGGACAAATCTAGGTTTTTATCCTGTTTTTAACTCTCCTCTAATTGCTGACATTACTTTTATTTTCTCCTTGTTTAAGGGCTGTTTGGGAGCAGTTGAAAAACAAATTATGTCTCCTTTAAACCCTGGAATATTTGATTGTTAAGAGAATTGTGTCCTCCTGGTACATACACTTTTCCTAGAGGTGTTTCCTTGTCTGTGATCAGCAGCATAGTTCACAGCCCTGAGTTCCGTCTCCTCCTCGTTGGGGCATGTGTGCTGTGTGTGTGTGTGTACTTGTGCTCACAGCGCAGTGACCGAGACAAAGATTGTTAGGTAGTGTCCTCTGCTCCCACGTCAGCATTCCTTTTGGCCTTCTTAAGCGCTAACTGCCCTTTCTGTCGTTCCCAAGATAAAGAACAATCACTTGAATCAAGCAATCCACGAAGAGCGAGAGGCCATCATCGAGCTGCGGGTGCAGCTCCGGCTGCTGCAGCTCCAGCGGGCTCAGTCAGAGCAGCAGGTGCAGGATGAGGAGGAGCCCGAGAGGCGCGGGGGTGCAGCTCAGCCGCCCCGAGACGGCGTTCTTGAGACAAAAGCAGCTAGAGAGCAGCCAAAGGCGGCCAAGGAGCAAGCAAAGCCATCGCCGAGCAAAGACAGGAAGGAAACACCCATCTGAGCAGCCGGTGGGTCAGTCACGGCATCCTCGAGACTGTAAAGACCTGTGCATCTTACTGTAACACTGAGACCCAGTGCACACCTCTCCTGTGGTGAACATTCTGTAACCATGTCTTTTCTCCTCAGAGATGCTTCTCTCTCACCTGTTTGACTTCTACCCTGCCAGGCTCAGGTTACGGGACAAAGCAACGGAGGCATTTTTGGACTTGTAGGGGACAGATAAGTTTTCCAGATAGTATCAGCTTATTTGAAGATTAATTTTCTTTGTTTAACTTAAAATAACTATTTTAATCCTTGAGTGGCTTCTTTTTAAACCAAAAATCGTCTTTCTTTGCTTTTTTTTATCACAGCAGAATCAGGATCTCTTTCTCTCATTCAAGGGGGAAAAAACAAAACAAGTTAAATACTATACCTGCCTTGTGGATTGATCCATTGTCTCACCGTCAGGATTTCTGCTTACCTAGTCACTCTTGCTTGTGCCTTTTACACCTTTTCGGTGCAGATTATATAATGGGGAGCTGCCTCGTGTTTTCTGACTGGCCAGAATGGCTCTTACTGGGTGTCTCCTTTACCCCGCCCCCCTTGTAATTCTCTCATTTTACAGTTCCAGACCACAGTAAATAAGCCCGCATCACCAAACGGCTGAGTTTGGTTGCAGACAGAGCTGGCTGCCCGTGGAACATGCCTGGGCCAGGCATGTGGCAGCACGGGCCACAAGCTCCCAGGAGCAGCAGCCCCTCTCCCTCCTGTTACTCACTGCTTGTCATCAGCAAATACTTCACTGAGTTGGTTGAAGGCAGCAGCCTTGGCCTAATCCATCCACACAAAGGATCTGTTTTCAAACCAGAATCTTTCACTGACCTTTCATTAAAAACAGAATGACTTATATTGCTTGCTTGGGCTAGAATGTAAAATGTCTCTTTGCCTGAATAAGCCATATATATGCTCTTAAACAAAAGTTTTAAATCATTCATGTCACTTCACTGAGCCTACTGATGGACTCCCAGTTGACACGATTGAGCAATAGAAAAAAAATACTTTCCTTTTAATGATAGCTAGGATCCCCCTCCCCGTTTTCTTGCTTCAAATACTTGTATACATGATCTGAGGCTTCTGTGAGGCCGAGTTTTTAAGGTAACTTTGTCTCAATTGCACTCTGTCAGAATCAGTGGCATTCATGAGATAGGTCAAGATCTCATGGGAATGAAAACCAACCCCCCACACTCAAGGTGATGAAAACAACTCCACAAGAGTGCTCTATCCTTTCCTCCTCCTAGTTAGTATTTATTTTCAGCACCCATTTGATGTGGTTTTCTATCCTCTACCTATTGCACTGTTATGACTTGTTGGCCATTATTTGATTTTTGTACGAAAAAAAGCTTTGTTATAGAAATCAGCATACTATTTTTTTAAATCTGGAGAGAAGATATTATGGTGACTGAAAATACGGTCAGATGTCAGATGTAAACATATAAAAGCCTTGCTGTCCTGTCTGTCATACTACATTCATTTTATATTTGCTGGCAATATTAAAGGTTTCTTTTTTTGTTTGTGTAAACTCTAATTTCTATCAAGGTGTCATGGATTTTTAAAATTAGTATTTCATTACAAATGTCTCAACATTGGTTAACTAATTTTTGCCAGGACCATTATCAATGAAGCAAATAAATTCAACAGCCATTTGGGGAAAAAAAAAAGCTTCCTTTTTTTTTTTTTTCTTAAATACATTATTTCTTTGAAATAACTTAGCACCCTGTGACTGGTAAGGAGTTGGTTTAGGTAATTCTTAAAGTCCAAAAGTAGCAAAATGTTTTGTTTCTAAATAACTTTGTATTCTTCATATGTGAATTTGATTATCACTCGCCAGGGACTAGGATTTGTTCCAGTTGTATGTTCCTGACCCTTGCCCAAACTGATGATTGCTGCTTAGTGAGCATACATTTGCAAAATCCAACTGAAAATGACTGGAAGTGAGTTTGCAGTTTACCTCTGTGAGAAACTTCCAGGTTCAGATGGGGAAGCGAGCTTTGCCCTGCTCACTCTGCACCAATCGCCTGGCCTGCTTGGCCAACAGGTGTTGACGATAAAATTGTTATATCTGATTTACAGACGTTTGCATCTCATATATGGAATGATGACTCACCACAAGCCAACCATTATTAGCATGTCTAGGAAATACTTGTTTAGAATGAAAATGACTATTTCATTTGCATTTTTACTTTAAAATTTCCACAATTAAAATATATGTAATTTAAAGTTTACAGCAACAACCAACTTCTCTATTTTTTATAGTTAAATTACATAAAATCAAATTTATACAGTTAAATTGTGGGAAGATGGCTGAGTAGGAAGCTCCAAGAATTGATCCCTCCACTGAAACTATTGAACTAGCAAGAACTGTTTTTGAGCTCCAGGGTCTACTGGAACATTTGCAGTATCCAGGGAGCCTGATGAAGAAGAGGCTGGAGAATTTTAGCCTTTACTTAGTGGCTCCCATCCCACATCTCTCAGCCCCACAGCAGGCAGTTTTGGACTGTGGTCCGCATTCCTGGTGCAGTTTGCTAGTGCCAGGGTGGAAAGGAAGGATCTTGTCCCCCCCAAATTAGTGTGTTTTGATTGCTGGTTACTGCTTTTCATCATGGAGGGGCCAGCAGAGGACAAATATTGTTTCCACTCCAAAGGCTAAAGTGACTTCTCTGCTGTTAGAAGACTTAGAGAATACTTTTTTTTTTGGTCCTCTTTTTTTTTTTTATCTCTTCCTCTTTTTGGGAGCCAGACATTTAAAGAAATGTTTGTCAGGTCACTGGCTGACTGCAGAGATAGTGGAACAGAAACTTCTGTGACCACACACAAAGAATACACACTTTGCAAAAATTGGAAACGTCACACAGATGGCTCTAGCCCTCAATAGGCAAAAACCAGTGGCCACTGAGGAGTGGGAGAACTAGATTTCTAGAGTGACCACAACATAATACTCGGAATGTCCAGTTGTCAGAAAATTACAGAATATACAGAGAAACAGTAAAGTATGGTTATGGTCCATGTCTTAGTTTCCTAGTGCTGCTGTAACAAATACCACAAGTCAATGACTTTAAAGAACAAAAGTTTGTTTTCTCACTGTTCAGGGAGATAAAAGTCCAAATGCAGGGTGTGGCTCTGGGAGAGGAAGGTCCTTCTTTGTCTATTTCAGCTTCTAGTAGCCAGTAATCCTTGGAGTACTTGGGCTTGTAGATTCATCTGCCTACATCAGATAGTGTGTCTTACCCCGTGTCTCTGCCTCTGTGTTTTATCCTTTTTATAACTCAGAAGTGATTAGATTGAGA